TCATTCAGAGTTAAACTCCCTCAATTTCTGAAGTACTCCCTTGCTGAAAGTCAAGTTCTCAGTTATTATTCCATAACTTGATAATGGAACTGTTCCACATCCATAAAGGACCAGGAGGAAGGAATGGAAGGGGAAGGGCATAACACTGTTGGCCACACACTGTGTACCGTGCTCTTTGCTTGCTGTTTTGCCCCCTGCCGATAACTTGTCCATATATCACGTCGCAGTTTGTAAACTGGTTTTATATGCATGAGATCTCAAGTGCCCTGTGCCTTCTAGGACAGGTGTAGATCTGGTTTTTGTGTGTTTGTTTTTATGATTTTATAAAAGAGTAAAAGTGATGCTGTTTTATTTGGAGCCTGACAGTTTCTGGTTCCATAGCCAGAAAATGCTACCTGGCTCTTCTAACGGAATGGAGGGCTTTTCCATTCTTAGACTTCTGAACTTAGACATTCTGAACTTGCTCTGAATCTTAAGCTTTTCTAGCCACAGAGCAAACACTCAGGTGCTTTTAAGTGTTTTTCTACATATTAGGTTTATTAGCGCTAACTTCATGACTTCCAAAGTGTGACTGCTTTCACGTCCAGACAGCTTCAATACGGGTCTCTACCAGTGACACGAGGCAGATAATCAATAAGAACACTTCGCTACTTATATAAACCAGTGTTGCTCACTTTCCAAAACAGTTCTTCACAAATTATATTATATTATTCCCTTCTCCCCCAGAAGGGGGCAGAACAAACATTTTTAATCTTGTTTTACAGATGAGGAAAAACAAGATCAGAGGTGTTAAGTGCTGTAGCCTATTGCTAGGTCTTCTGTCCCCAGTTCTGGTTTCTCCACAAGCCCATGTTCCTTCTTTCTCATAGTGCTTACCTACTCCTCAGACCCTCACCACCACCACAGAAACTTTTAATTCTGGAAAAGAAATCCAGTTACACCATGGTACACCTGCGCTTCACACAGTTATAAGCTTTGGGTGGTTCCCCAAGTAAAGCTGCAAATTACAGAAATGAAATGAAAGCAAAGTAGGCATCTGACAAAAGTTGCTTTTTCCCTTCTGCCTCAAGTAATTACCTCAAGTAATGTTTATGCAGAAATTTCTGTCATTCCTTAGATTTACTGAACATTCCACACAGGCATACAAACTAGCAAATTATAAATCTCTTAACGGCCACCCCGGATCCCTGCCCAAATTCAAGGAAAGAACCGGGATGGACCTAGTGGTTTTCTGTGTGGAGAGCCTCCTATTATGGGTGCTGGTGTGCATGGCAGCAGGCCCAAGCAGAGGAACTGGCGGGGGAGGTGGAGAAGGACGCGTCCAGAGGAGGACCTCTTAGCAGCGGGCGTGGGGCCTCTGCTCGTGCTCCCCTCAGAGGACCGTCTTTGGTCCTGTTCTTCTGCGATGGCAGCAAGAACGCAAGCGTGCCCCTCTGCGTATGAGGCAGGACAGCACGGGCTACGGAGCGTGAGGAAGCAGATCCGTGGAGAGGCTGGCTCAGTGGGGAGCACTTGGCTTCCGCTGTGGGCTTTTACTGAGCGTTGGGCTGTTGGGGACCAATGGAATAATCCTAAATAGAGTTGCTACAGTTCACATTATGAAATGTTTCGGTAAGTAGCCACTTTTTCAGAAGATGTCTTTTTCTCCTTTTGTTGTTGCCGTTTCATAGGTTTAAGTTTGGGTTCGTTTTTTTTGCTCTCTAAATGGCACTCACCTGTTTGGTGACTGGTAATGTATTTGACTGGGATATGTGGTTGTGGACTGACGAAAAGCTGTTCCATCAGTCTTCCATTATCAAAAACAGTCTCTTCTTTTTTGACAGTGGAGGAAGCATCGCT